AAAAAGTGGACACTAAAGCATTCGAAAATTAATGCAATAAAGAAAACTACACTTTTGGAAATAAATTTAAATATAAATATAAAAGCGGGGACAAAATTCAAAATGCAAACAAAATACTTTAACAAAAATCTACAAAAATGTGAAACAATTTACCTTTTTACCAACGAAAATTTTGTCTACCAATTTTTGTAATAATTTACCAAAGTGACAACCCTGGTGCCAGAGAACTTTAATTTAAACCACGATATTTTATATCTGCGCCGGATATATAAACTTCGGTTTCGCCCGAACTTATACTTCATTTTTTAAATTTTTTTTTACTTTAAGTTTTTGAAAGATACGGTAATTAATAATGATAAAAACATACAGCCTTAATTTGTATCAAGAATGATAGGCAAAACGGAACGATTCGTCTGCAGACGACAACCTCTTAGATTCCGATTTTAAACTCTATCGGTCGTCTTCGCCTTGCTTTTCATACATTAGGTTGCAATGGTCTCGGTTGCATTTAAACCGGCTAAAATGATTGAGAGTAAAAAAAAGTAATTGGTCAAAGTTGTTGCTCTTTGAGATTGAAAATGAGAATGTGGGTGTGAGTTTGTGTGTAAAATTTTAAAATTAAATTCAAGGCGAATTAATATAAGGTGAAAGCAGGAGTACAAAAACAAAAATTTACATGTATTTTGTTTTTGCTTTGGCGGCATAAACTGTCAAAATCTGTAAGAGTGTGTGTAGAAATTCAAACAAAATTTTTCAATTTGATATCAGAAGCCGTGCGGCGAAACACATACACAAAATCAGCTGAGCTAGTAACACCACCTTATATAAATTCGCCTTGGTTTAATTGCTTGCAAACGTCAAGAATTTAAAAAATTCCTCTCAGCGGTTCTACCTTGCTATTTTTTTTATCATGATTTTTTTATGAAAATAAAATTGAATGGTTTGCGCATATAATGTGTTTTGATTTTTTTCTAAGCCCAAATATGAGAAATGGGTAAAAAATTAAATTGTTGAAGTAAAAACGACATTTTACGAACTGACCACTTTATGTTGTTGCTCAATAGGTTTTTTATTTGCTTTCAAAAAGTCATAAGATTCGAATGAATGGCTGCTGAAATATTGGAAAAAGTGTGAAAACCTTAAAAGAATTTGTTTGCAAATAACTCATCGAAAAATTAAAATTAGCGCAAAAGCTTCGTTGTTGTGCACCATGTGAGCTTTCAAAATCGGCCAATGACATATAAAAAATCAATTTTGGTTGGCCCACTTGGGAAAACTTGACTGATTAAACAAATCTTCTGGTAGTTTTTTTGTTGAATTTGGTTACTTTTTCTGGTAATTTTGGTAAAAATAAAAAATAAAAATATTGTGGCAACACGAGCTTAACATATCTTCATCTGAAATACAAAAATACGTAAAAACATCTTCGCTGAAATGCAAAAAGTCATAACTAATAAAAAATTCAAAATTCACTTTTTGATTGATATGATGCATTTCATCGAATTACAACTCCCCACATCGTTTTATAAAAAAAAGTAAGTGCCACACTGGAGAAGTGAAACTTACGTTTCATATCTATTTTGTCTCATAACCAATATACACAAATTTTTTTGCTTAAAATTATCTTTTTGTGTCTTTTTTCTATCTAGGTGCCTACCTCTTTCCCTGTTCGTTCTAGTTACATTTATGTTATTCTGTTTTCTTTTATTTTCATTTTTATCTTTAATCTATCGATAGCAAAACCGATAGTAACATCCAAGAAAATATCGATAGCAAAATCGATAGTAACATCCAACAAAATATCGATAACAAAACCGATAAAAATATCGATAACCAAATCGATGACAAAATCGATAAATAATCGGTAACAAAATCGATAACGAAATCGATAAATATCGATCAAAATATCGATAACAAGTTTAATAAATAATCGATAAAAAATATCGATAACAAAATCGATAAAAAATATATCAGTAATGATAACAAAATCGATAAATACTCCATAACAAAATCGATAAGTAACCGATAACAATAGCGATAACGACACCGATGAATATACGATAACAAAATGGATAGAAATATCGATAACAAAATCTATAAAAGTATCGATTATTATATATGTAGATAAGTTCCGAAAATATCGATAGCAAAATCGAAAAAATTTCGATTACAAAATCGATAAAAATATCGATAACAAAACCGAAAAAATTATTGATTATTATATCGATAAGTCCCGAGAATTCAAAAATCTCTAAAAGTCCAAAACAGTTCCCAGATCGAGTCTTAGTGTCTCTATCTATGTACATATGCATATCCTTTTATCTGTAATTACCTTTATTTTAATCTTTCTTCTTCTATCTTCAACTTTATTTTCATCGGTATCCTCTTCCTCATCTTTTTCTTTACGTTTATCTTTGTTTTTACTTTTATGTTTATCATTTTCTTCATCTACATTCATATTTCCTTTCACCTTTGCCCATATATAAGTGTTAAAATTTACCTTGGTCTTCATTTTTGCCTTTATCTTTACGCATGTTTGTTTTAGTTTTTATTTTTACCTTTGCCTTTATCCTTTTCTTTATCTATGTACGTACTTACCTTTACTTTCATTCTTGTATTGGTCTTTTCCAAGTGTTATTCTTTAAGCTTTTATTAGAATTTTTTTGTCAAATTACACCTGTTTCATCCCCAACCATTGCCGTTGCATTATTTTCGTTGCACCATTTCCGTTGCACCACTTCCGTGTGCAATTTCCGTTGAATTTGCCAATTTACTCCCAACCAACCAACCGCCGCTAAAGAAGTTTCACTTCAAAAATATTAGTCACGACGTTATCCATTTCAGTGACGATATATATCAACAAGTTTATCGAATCGTATATGTTGGAATTAGCTCGAATTGTAGTTATCAATCCGGAAACGGGTGTGCAATTATTATACTGGATCACCGAAGTCATATGCATGTCCTGCAGGAAATGAGTTAGATACATAAGTTAACTTGAAATTGATTAGGAAGGAACTAAAGGTCACTATTATCTGTATACTTTCTTTGGGGATGGCCGCGAAATAGTCAAGGGTGGCTTGCGTTTTGATGTCAACTAACTTTTTTTTTGGACATGAAATATCAACACGAGAAGCAATATTTTAAAATTTAATGTTTTTGACTATGTGGAGTGCAGAAAAAAGTGTATTAAAAGTAAAATTTATATGAGGATATTTTAATAGAAACTTTTTTTAAGAAAACAATCTCCCGAATACTTCTGCATTACTCCTGCATTATTTTTCAACTAGTTTTAAGCTAGCGTTTTGTAGCTAACTTACAAGTTACATAATAATAATAGATTGGCGCTTACACATATGTTAGTGTTTGGCCGAGCTTCTCCTCCGACTTGTGGCGTGCGCCTTGATATTGTCACACAAAGCGGAGGGACCTACAGTTTTACGCCGACTCCGAACGGCGATTGTATTTTTATGAGAAGCTGTTTTTCATGGCAGAAATACACTCGGAGGTTTGCCATTGCCTGCCGAGGGACGACCGCTGTTAAGAAAAAACCTTTTTTCTATATTTTTTTTGCGATGATGCTTTGACCAGGGCTGGAACCCAGGCGTTGCGGAGTGAAAGCGCGCACTGCTTACCACTACACCACAGCGGCCGACGACAAGTTATATATTTTATAGAAATCCCGCAAAAATGCTACCGGTAAATGGGTTATTTTTTATCAATTGATAATTTTTTTCTGCAGGGTGCGCTTACAAATGTACATACATACATATTTTTGTACATACAAGGTATCTTAACGCATATGCTGGTGCAAAAGTAACGTGAGAACTTTGGCGACAATCCCACATTAAACTGCCCTGTGTGAAAGCTTGAAAAATAATGTATGAATTGAACTTGTGAGATGTACACATGTACATAAATAAACAAGGTGACGCAAAATTAATAACCCTTCTTCTTGATCGCTTCTTTCTTTGGGGTTACTTGAAGTCGCGGGCTTATGCCAACAAGCTTCAGACAATCGCAGCCCTTAAAGCGAATATCCGGCAGGAAAGCGAACAGTTATCGCCGGAAATCTTGCGGAAACTCATACAAAATGTGATAAACGGGAACGAATGTGTACCAACACTGGCGGCAGCGATTTGACGGATATCATCTTTCTACTTAACAGAAAAATTTGTAAAGGTCCAAACAAATTTCCATCACTCAAAATCTTTTTTTTTAAATTTAATAAAAAAATATTCAAAACAGAATAGGATGATTAATTTGCGCCACCTTGTATATACAAACATGTAATATGTTGGTGCAGTGCTTGTTTGCATCCAGATGTCCATATATTAATGATCGCCTCCGATGGAATTTAATAGGGATAATGTTTTCATTCGGTTCTCTCAGTTTTATTTTAATAAAATATGTTTGTGCTGATATATAGGTATGTACATATACACATATACATATGTACATTTTTGCTTTTATAATTTTGCTCGTATTTATACACACATTTTCGCTAATGCCATTTAAATTAATACATATGTACATATGTATGTCTGTATGAAAATGTACTATATATGTATGTATGTATACGTACATATGTATATGCACATAGGTATGGATGTAAATATGTTGAATGTTTTGTTTAAAACGTACAAACATATGCACAATTATTTGTACATATGAATGGACATATCTCACATGATCTTCAAAAGTGACACAACTCAAAATTTGGCATTTTTGAAACTATGCACTAAAAATAAACGCAAAACTTTTATTTACCTTTCAGCAAAAGCTGGACCAAATTTTTGTTATAATTTGTTGAAAAGAACCTTTGGTAAAGTCGCCCTTGCCCATATGATTAGCATCTCCTAATAAGTAGTTTTTCGTATTTTCTGACGAACGTGTAATTTTGAGTTGTGTCTCTTTTGAATATCGTGTGCGATGTGTATGTATGTCAGTAATTAATATTTATGCTAAATGACTTACTGTTTAATTCGGGCGCGCAGTTAGCGAGCTACACGCTCCCGCTTAAGATGTTTTACGCGGAAAGATCGGTCATCAGCGGATTGTCGACGCCCAAGGTCCCACTAAACAGCGCAAATGACGAGTTTCTCATACAAAATGCGCGTTATTTAAATTGGATATTAGTTTGACGTTGTGATCTTATTAACAAATGAAGAACAATTTTCTTCAAATAAATCGATCCTGTCAAGCGGCCGGTGCGAGTCGTCATTTAAGTCCCAGAGTACCACCATCTTTATTAGTCGCATCAACTGATATTAGCGCCCTCGAATACAAACATATGTGCATATGTACTATGTGCTGGTGTTTGCGCGTTTACTGGACCGTTCTGCATAATTTGTTCGCGCGTTTTGTGACAAACGTGGCCAATTCTGTTTACAACAACAATCTGTGTCGGTGTTGCTCGAGTTGCTCACATTCTGTGCGATGTCATTGTTGTGATCATTGTTTGATTCATAGAAACACCCAGCGTGCTTCGAGTGAGCTTAGTGAAAATGAGTGCGAAGAGAAGGAGCTTACGGCAAGAAGTGAGATAGAGGTGCACTCAAGAGCGACGACAACCTGTTCAGCTCATCATTACGTCATAGTTGGTTAGTGCACCGGAAAACCAACAAAACTAATCATTAACAAAAAACAGTGACTCTTCCTTAAAAAATGTTAAATCTTCAATCTCGGCGTGCGGAGATTTGAGATGCCTTTCATAAGCATTTTTAAATTCAAATTAAATCAATCAATAGTGAATTGCACTATGGCTAAAATATGCACTTTCTGCGGCCATAAATCTTAAACACAATCTTAAAAGACATTGGTTTCGAAATCAGCGAAAGCGGCCCATAACCACACCCATCACCCATTTCCCAAGTATCCTAGAGTACGCGTCCCCTTCTAAAATTGAGGAAAATATTTTTATTAAAAAATGGAAAAATATTTGGTAGTCGGTGATGCTCTATCTTTTGGCAGTATTACCGACTATCGCTTTCAACCGGAAGTGGGTTAAACAGGCCGGAAGTGCATTATTTTAACTGGAACTCCATTACAAAGAAACGTTTCTGAAAAAAGTTACGTTTTTTTGATGACGTCTGAGCAGACAATTCATAGTCCAAATGAAAGTAGATATAATACCCTTTTATCAGATATATATGTATATCGACGAAATCGACCAGAAAAAGTGACACTCGAGACGAAACAAGCACAATACATATGTTTAAACTTTTATAATCACAACATGCACTTCGAAACTTCAATATTTTTACAAAGGTAAAACAAAACCGCGATGCACTGAAATCCAGTATAATAAAATTCTAGCACAAACCAGGACCAGGGTTGCCTTGCGGCCATAAATTTATAATTCCTTTTCTAACTAGAGTATCTAGAATAAAGTCCGCTTAGTAAAAATGTTGAAAGCAGAAGTTGAAAACTGCACTTTTGGCCGCAGAAAGTGCTTATATCAGCCTTAGTGCATTGGTTAAATGCCTAAAAAAAAACCGGTGCAAAACAAATATTTTAGCCGCTCTCTAAGGAAGACTGCTCTACAAGTACCTATCTGTTAGTCTGGCTTAAGAGACTTTGTTACAGAGTAGTCCGAATATTTTGGACTATAAAAATCATGTTGCTTTAGGGTAGCTGATAGGCTTATATTTTTCGCTTTTCTTTCATAGATGATATCGATGCGAATTACCTTGAGATTGAGCGTCGCAAAATCGAGACTGAATCATTTTATCGTCTAGTTGACCGCGCAACTGCTGAGGATATTTTGAATTGCAGAGAAGATGGCTCTTGTTTGGTACGCCCATTTAAAGAAATGGTATGTTCGGAGTAAAATAATTTTGGCTTCTAATCCAATGTTTTCTGTTCATTTCCACAAAGGATCCGTCGATTAAATACATCGTCACCATATATGCCCAGCAGCAATATTTCCATCTTTTCATCAGACAAATTAACGGTAAGGACCTCTACGGCATCGGCCAACAAAAGTCTAAAGAAAAGGTTTTTAGCTCCCCAAGTGATATTATCGATTTCTACAGTTATAATCCTTTACAATGTACAAACAAAAGTACCAGTATAAGTTTAGTATTAAAACCAATAATTACATGAAAAAGATGCGTAATTGTTATTTATAATTTAATAAATTTTAAGTGCATAAGTAAACATTCACTTTTAGGCATTCTCATATTTGATTTGGATATTAAAATTTTAATTTTTTATATACAAATAAAAATAGACTTATACGATATTTCAAGCTGCTTTAATCCACATGCTACTATTCCGAAAGAGCTAGGCTAAGTGGCTACGACCGCTTTGAATACGCAACGATTGTTCTGCATAAGAGCTGGCCAAAAGAAGGATTTGATAAGATCAGAGCGGCGATCAGACTGTGGGTGGCGTTCGTGTTTCTCTGGACGCAGAAAGCCTGAAATTGAAAAGCGGATTAAATATACATATGTNTTTTTGATTGCTATGAAAGATTTCATCAAATTGCAACTCCCCACATCGTTTTATGAACAAAAAAAATTACTCATGACTTTCAGTGACGATATTGTTACGTTATTTTGCATTTCAGGTGACGATATATCGCTTAATCGTTTAATAACCCTGCCGAAATCTGTATTTTTATGAATCTTTAAAGAAAATTGTATGAAGTGGTTGACAGGAGCTCGTAAAGAAATTTCTGTACGAAACATAAAGAAAATAATGAAATAATTCTGCAATAAATTATTCCAATAGCAGCATTATTTTCTTCCGAAATTTCGTAAAAGAATCGAAGTGTGCACAGTTTATTTAATTTTAGAAAATTCGCAAAAAAAAAAAAAATTCTCTACAATTCAGAATACTCTGAAAACATGGTTTGCAGGCATGGTTCAATAAAACAAGGTTGTGTAATTTGTGACAGCTAAAATTTGACACTCCTTTATCTAGATTTGTATTTTGGAAGTAGGAGAAAGGGGAATAATGTGATCGCCTTTTGCGAAAACGGTAGTAGAAAGGTAGTACAAAAAGAACGCAAAGTATATAATTAGAAGTAAAATGTGTATTATTTATTCTATGCGAATTTGCAATATATTTGGTGTTTTAATGGAAATACTAAACAATACATAAAAATATGCATTTTTGATTTAAGTTATTCGTCATTTCCGGGAACAAATCTAGAATGCCGACCGTTCAGCTATGCAAAAACGAAAAATGCGGATCAATGAAACTTTTTATGCTCATTTCAACCATGCCAAAATGATTTGGCGCAAGTAAAAAAATTAGGAGGTTCTAGAAGGTTAAAGTTCAGTTTTTAGATACTTTAAATATTAATACCTTATGAACTTTATAACCGATTAAAAAGTTAATGACGTCACCATAAAGGTAATTAATTTGTTCTTCAGCTGATGTACATAATTTATAGCTTTTTGTATTTTTAAACCAAAACAACTAAAAAACGAACAANAATTTATAGCTTTTTGTATTTTTAAACCAAAACAACTAAAAAACGAACAACTATTATTTTTTCATGAAATATCCTTTTTTGAAAAAACTGCATAATTAATGCTAAAGAATTTTATATTATTTAGAAAGTACAAGCTATTATCTTTAATTCGATATAGCATATTTCATCATGATCTACTTTTGGGTTTCAACAATTTAGTGATAATAAAAAATACAAATAAACCTCTTATATCTTTTTTTTTTACCTGCGCCAAATAAATTTGGTATCGTTGAAATCAGCGTAAAAAGTTCTATCAATCGGCATTTTTGGTTATTTTATAGCTAAACGGTCGCTATTCTACACTTGGTCTAGAAAATTACGCAAACGAAGGTGACGGCAACGAATATTTAGTATGAAGAATTTTTGGTTTTACTACTAATATAACTAGAAACTATAGAGTAAGCAACATTCTGCACAAGTAAAGGAGCCGATTTTATGTGTGGGAGCGAGAAGACTGCTTTATTACAAAACCTTTCTATTATTGAACCATGGTTTGCAGGGAATATACAGAATTATTTAAAAATTTAAATTTTACGGGAAAACGAAATCAAAGTTTGATCAATTCATACAGTTGGTACATATATTTTAAAAGAGGTTTAGTTTAGTTGGGAAGTTTAGTCATCTGTTAGGCTGAACATATTCTCCTCATCATGCTAATTAATTGTATTATAAAATCTCCAAAATCGTAAATTTTGATTTACATCTCTTTAATATTAAGTGTGCGATGTATGTTTGTGCGAAGAAAAATAATTAGTTATATTTTGACTAATTTACCAAGAGTGAAATCGCCGTCAAGATAATATGGTGACTTCTGATTAATCATGCGCCAAGCTAGACGAACGCAAGCGCTGACAAAGTGTGTGAGGGCTATGCACGATTCCAGGCATGGATATTCATGTAGTGTGGAAAGTACCTGCGAAAGAAATGTAGCCAATTACTTAAAACACGAGTTTAATAAGCTGCATAAATGTTGAAAATTTGGTACTCAATAAGGCTAACATATTGTGGTATAGGATCATACAATTACATGCAAATATAAGCAGATGATTATGCAATTCACAATAAAATCACATTTTATAAAGTTGTTCATTGAGTCTTCAAAAAAACGGTTTGCAATTATTATTGGTTTTGGTTCATTTCCTTAGTATAACAACTGATAAGATGTTTCAGGGCATACATACATGGTTTGCGATCAATCGCAATTTACATAAAGGGATGAGTGAGAAACTAAGCCTTAACCCTTAATGAGGCGCATGGGGTCAAGGCCATTTCAAGTTGAAAAAATTGTCTTGGAGTGCTTGGAGCATGCTCGCGCCCTTTCTAGGTTCCGAACTCGCCGTGGGGTATGTAAATAAGTCACTGCCGGAACATCGGCGTGTATGCATGTGTCGCTACTCTTTTAAGTCCTGACTCCATGCGACCACTAACGTAACATTTTTTGGGAGAGGTAAGTTTCTAATTTTTTTTTTGAAGTTTGAAGTCGAAAATAAGTTTTTATTTTTTTAAGTTAACGATAATAGAGTACTTGAATATTTTTGATAATACGCGCTTCGTTTTTTTATTTTGAAAACTCCTTTTTTCAAAACTTTTATTGGGGTCACTGGGGACCCCATGCGACTAATTGTGTGATTTTCTTTATGCGCGTAATTAATGGTTAATGTAAGATAATAAATGTATAAAGCTTACTCACTTGATTGAAAACCGAGCGTTCAATTTCGCCCAGAGGAAAAGATTCCACAGTTTCGTGCAAATAGGCTCGCACTGATCGATCTAAGGTGAGTGTGATCTCGTTTGATGCATCCACGGAACAATTTAGAGTTCGACGAACCTCCACCACTTTCCTTTCGCGCATGCCATGACACAGGCGAAATGATAACTGAAAGCATATTGGTAAGAGATATGCATTTAAATGGGCAATACTTATAACGAAGTACTAAATATAATAATGGTATAGTGTAAATGCCAATAGTTATCGCTCTAATTAAAGTCATAATATTGGGTACATTTTTACTGTCTAGATTACTTGACTGCTTACACTTGACGGCAAATGCGTTGATGCAATTTTTTTTTTTTGTTCATGGCCAACTTTAGCAAGAAAATAAGTGCATGCCTTGAGGGCATTTGTGATCACTTTCTAGTGCGCCAATCAGCAAACGTTTTTTTGTAAACCTCGTAATTGAATGTCTTTGTTCCTTAGCACGTTTCGGTCAGCGCACGCCTGTGCGCGTCTACTCCATTACCGTGCAAAAACAGAGTAACTGATTGTTATATTTGGTGGTCTTTTCGATAGACAGTGTAATAAATTTAAAGTGTTTAATGCAAGTCGGCTGAGTAAGTGTGCGTAATCGAATGAAAATATTACTTGCATATACATACATCCGTACGTACTTATATAAAAGTATAAAAAAACAGTGCCGACATACCACAATTATTGAGAAAAGTATTTTCGCTTTCAGATTGTGAATGTGCTTTAGCTGCGGCAGACCATCCAATGCTTCCAATGTATCCGCTCTATTCTCCATATACAGGGTGCGATACTGAGTAACCATTTCGCTGTTGGGGTAGGTCGAGAAGAATGTTTTTAGTTTGGCATATATGTACATAAGAAAGATTTCGAAATTGTATACATAAGTATGTATGTATTTAATATGTATTTTTTAAGGTAAACCCAATCAATGAAATAAGCCTGCAAACCAAAGTTCCCGAAATCTTAACGAAATCTTTAGGAGTATCTCGTTTCTGTAACGATTGCTTTACGAATCTTCAAAGAAAATTATATGAACTTGTAAAGAAATTTCTGTACGAAAAAAAAACTCTGAAACAATTCTGTAATAAATTCTTTACATAGCTGCATTACTTTCATTGCTTCACCGATTGTCTTCCGAAATTTCGTAAAATAATAGTTTATTTTATTTTAGAAAATTCGGCAAAAAAATCCGATGAGAGCTTTACGAATTCCTTAAAATTTCTCTACAATTTAGAATGCTCTGAAAGTATGGTTTGCAGGGAATATACCATTTAATACTACTTGACTTATTTCAAACTTGTTTGAATTTCTGCCCTTGGTAACTGGACGCAAAATCGGAAGATTCTCTTTAACATTCCTTATAGGACCCAAACTTAACGATTAAACTTTCCCAAAAGCGTTTAAAACTTTCTTGCTGCTTAAAGGGATTTTTTTTTATATATATATGGCTCTTTCTTTGCAGATCCAACAGTAAAGAAACCCTAATTTATTTAAAACGAATGCGAAATATTTCATAACTTATTTCTAC